CCTTCTCCTTACTCTTTTATGTAAACTCTGTATTATGTATTGAACTGTATTACACATGTCTTGAATCTTGTTGAATTCCAATTTATTTGCAGCTTCAACATTTTACGATTTAAACAAATATATTGTATTAGCAGACACATATTGATTAACTTTCTTCACGAACTTAGTTTTTCATTTATTTTTAATGGCAATATCTTTTATTGAAGGCTTAGTTGTTTATCAATTTACTTTTATATGACGTTGAAACGGGTTGCCTCATTGGTCAATAGTACGAGGGCAGTTTTTAAGTGCCGTTTTTGCATATAAATCCACAGTTGGCTTGTACGTCTCAACGAGGCTCCTCGCCACTTACTGGAATCCAACGATCACATAAGACCAATCGGTCTTATGTGATCGTTGCTGGAATCATTTGTGAGCAGAATTACACCATTTCCAGCTCTGTAGCTGACAAGTACACTTCGCTGTGCCGGGCCGGTTCTAGACATTTTTCTAGTGTAACAACATTCCGGCACCCCCCCCCCTAAGAAAAACTTATATGGTAGGTCTTATTAAGATGTAAGATCTCTGGATACATCTACAAAAACGACTATATACACGGTGTACCGTAAGTAAACAACCTACCTCAGACCAATGGATTTATGGGTCAAAATAAAGAATAACATTTCCTCAAAATCACTTGGATGGTCATTCATTTTCTATTTTTTACATAACATATTTTTCTTTGGATTTTGTCAACCAATCTTTATGACACTTGGTATGTATGTTAAGATAGAAGAGACTCATGTTAGAAAACAAATTAATCCAACTTCAAATTTGAAAATGGCGGCCATTTTAATTTAAAAAATTTAAATTACTAAGAAAATTCCTGATTTTAAGAACAAAATATTTTGAACAACTTTATTAGAAGCATTAAAATTTTCATATCAAACCACACTAAGTTCAAAAAGATAGAAAAAAAGATATATTAAATATTACGGTTTTCAGTTGTAAAATAAGCCAAACCTATAGCTTTGCCCTATTCTTCCTCATTTTCAGACAAAAAATCAAGATATTTCAGTTATTTTTTATAAGACCTTTTTGAAATTGGTATCGTTGGATAGTACACTTTAAATGCCTACTAAAAAGAGATCTTGACATTTATTTTAAAACAAAAAGACTTCATTAACAGCATTTGCTAAACATGATTGCCCTTAATTATTCAACGTACTATTTAAAAAATGTAAAACCCAATTACAATCTATACTATTATACAACAATCTAATGGTGTATGTCTGTATGTGTATTACTAATAGGTGCAAAAAAAAAAAAAAAAAACTACTGAACCAACTGGGCTTAATTTTACAAAAATATAGCTATCATACCAAGGACCATTATAGGACTATTCACATTTCGATAGTGACCGTAGGCTTTACCCCTTTGGTTTGAAAAGTTCTGAGGTGAACATTTTAAAAGTAAATATTGATTGGTCTCCATGGCTGCGATGAGAACACTAAACAATGTTTGTTTACATTTGCTTTGACATTTAAATGTAAACAAGAAGAACTACTAAACTGCATATTTCGCAATTTCAGACAGCTGACACAAAGAAACTAAATATAATATTTTCCATAACTATGAGGTAGGTTTATTTTAATCTAACCTTTTATAATGGATTATTTATTCTAAAACTATGTCAATAATTAAAAAAAAATGCTATAACCGTTGCTGTATCAACTCCGGCTCTGCTTTGGATTTTTTAAAGCGTCTTAGTTATGAAAATAATGTTATTGATATGTTTTAATGGAAACAGTATGGAAATTAAAATGTATTGATGTTTTGTATGAATTTGGAGGCTACTTTAAAAAAATTCGAACTGCTTAACATGTGTTAGATTAACTTAACATAACTTGCACATCACATTGTTTTTTTGATGCTTTGATAATCATATTAGTTTTGTCTGCTGTCTTTAATGCCAAATAATTTGTTTAAAAATTGTTTATAGTACCTATAGATATAGTTTCTTTAATATTTCAAAAGACTATTGATAAGGCACAGCAATATTTCTAAAGTTTATAACAGCCGACTTAGTTTTGCTAATAATTTATTGAGAGCGAAGAAACTGAAGATGGAAGGATTTTTGATTAAATATAAAGAAGAAAGCAATCTAAAAAATGTCCATTTAAATTTAATACAGTAATTAGTATTTTTGCAACTTCAAAATTGAAATTTAAAATTTTAATAATAAATTAAAAGATATGCAATTAAGGGAGATGAAGGTAAATCATGTATTTCAAAGTTTTATTCGAGGATTTGGTCAGTTTTTCTCATATCAGCCTACACAAGATTTAAAATTAATCAAAACCAAAATGGTGGTATCCAGATTTAAAAGTCAAAAATTAAACATTTCTATTAAGGCCATAAAAGTTTAATTTTGTTCCTTAAAGCGTTGGTGAATGTGTAAAAATTATATGCAACAGATGTAAACATTAAAATGTTTCTATTTTGTGTCCTCTTCCCGTTGCAAAGCACGGGTCAACATCTAGTATTACATATATAAAAATTCAAAGTTCATTAAATGTGAGCAAAACAATAATTACCTACAGCACAAGTCAGATTTAAGGAAATTAACCAATTTATTTACCTGTAAAATAAAAAAAAATTATACTTAAACAGTAATTGCACTTAACACTGAAAAGAGATTTTCCATACTTCCATTTTGGCAAATTAACTGCGTTTTTGAAGACTTTCTGCAGTGTTTCTTCTCAGGGTTTTAATTGTACAAAAACAGTCTGGAGTAATCATAAACTAACAACTCATTATAATCCAACATTATAACCCAAACTTTTCCTTACTTAATCTAATCACACGTATGAGTGTCCCTAGTCAACGATAATTTTTATTTTTAATCAACGATGTTCTTATTCTTATCTTCATCTCACCTTCACTTAGCACCCCAGTAAATAGTAGCTTATTCTAGTTATGGTAAGGTGACCATTTCTAGTAGGCCTAACGCCAATAACATACCTCCAAAAGTCGTATATTTGAACAGTTTTATCATCTAGTAATGTCAATTCCCGTTTAAAAATAATTGCATTTTAATTCAGGAGGTTAAAAACTATCAAAGTATATCAAAATTAAAAACTCGTGTGGAGGCACTTATTTCAAATACTTATTGTTATTGTTGAATGTACTATATTTATGAGTATAATCATTTATTTAACTTAGTATTATAAGAATAAAATATTTGGTTTGTATAACATTAAGGTTCAATAACTTATACTATAGCCTGCTTACGCTAGCAGAGGGACTAGGCCTAAAAGTTTTCTTTCCAAGGACGCTAGGCACGAGCCCGGGATTATTTTTCAAATTACTTCAGGCTAGACCTAGGGGTTGTGGCAATATCTAGATAAAATCCATGGGTGATTTGGTGGACTTTGAACCCAGGACCTCAGGGAACGAAGTCCCGCGCTCTAACCACTAAGCTCAACTAACTCATTGCAACAATGGAATGGATTGGCGAACATTAAAATAGGCTCGCGTTATTTAGTTATCGAGTGGATTCACTGTCAATAAATGGAGTACGTGGCTCACAGCCGTGATGGTTATAACAAAAACCATCCGTCCTAGACTACTAAAAAAAAGTAGTCAAAGTAGGTTCAATTCCCGCACTTTACCAATAACCTTTGCATACGTTATAGTTTAGTTATTATGTTTGCTTATATCATGTAAAGTTGTCAATGACTGTTGGAGATTTTTATTCAAATATCGGCAACAGACAATAGCATCAGCAGAATATTGCAGCGGCCCAACACAATGTCAATATTGTCATGTAAATAATGGCTCTACCCTGTATAGGGCTCTACGAGACCTGCAGGGCTTATATTGCCTAAACGCGCTCTCTGGTCATCTGTATTTTAATATATGATCATTATAGATCTTTAGCAGAAAGGTTTTCTTACAATAAGATGCATGTTATTGTTAGGTCCTACCATTGACTTTTTATCTACTCAAACAAATGTTTAATGTGAGTTCAGCTGAAAAATTTCGGACCACAGCCTTGAAATCGTTTTTGAAATTCCAACCTCATATCCAACCCATATGAGGGTTTTAATAGTTTTTACAGAAATCGGCTGAAAATAGTATAATAACACTTGAAACATATTATATTTACACTTAATAGTTGTTCTGCCTGTGCCCGCCACGAGGAGAGAACACAGCGAAGATATGGCGATTACCAATATATCTGTGTGATTGTGGTAATTACTACCACTTACTATCTTTTATTTTATTTTAACTATATTTTCAACGGACATTAAATTTTGATAACAGTATAATTTTCTTTAAACATGGGATCAATAATGCAGTAGTATTACGGTATTTTAAGATGACGGATTCAGTACTTACCTAAATCAGTTGCTCAAGTTGCTTAAATTACAACTTTAAAATATGATTTAACACTTAGACAGTACAATAGGTAACAAAAGAGTAAAAAAATACGTAATTCATTAACAACATCCAACTAGCAATAAACAGTAGATGATTTTCTTATACATTTTTAAGGAAAACAAGCATAAAGATCAAAATAAACAAATATGCAAATCAGTAAAGTAAATACCGTAAGTCGCTAACAATAACATTCCACTAAAAATACGCCTTTAACTACTTTATAAATGCTTAAAACAAATATAGCAAGACAACTGACAGTATAGTGTCTTTATACGTATATTAACTGTTTTTATTAAGTGTAAACATACATTTGAAGTGTTATAAGATTTACTTTCAACTACTTTCCGTAAAATTAATATCACGTGCTATGCCGAAGAACACATATAGTTTTTATGTAAATTAATCTGATATAATCTATGAAATTAGGTTAAAATATTGGTTTAAGTATACACATTTTGTATTTATTACTCAATCAACATATTGGTTTATCCTACAGAGGGGGGATTATGTATGTGCTATCTATAAACTGAGTAAATAAAAGACCAAAACATTCAAAACACTTTATTGTTGCAACAGCTAATGCTGTACAGCACCACACATTCTAAATACAGTAACACACGCTGCAGCAGTTTGTCGATTACATTCCCATGTTGGCTGCGGTGTCATTGTGGTGCCGAGTTAATAGTATTATCCCCAACCTAAATCCTACAAATATTCATACTACAACTAATTGTGATACAGTCTCGTAGGTGTGACATAATGACAACAATATTTAGGGTTATCAAGGCCAATGACATTCGGCATATCTATCTATATATTAATAGGCAAGCATGTTTCTTTAAAACCTTTTTTCTCAGCTCGTGTGCATCACAGGGAAAATCTACGCATACTGCTGGAAATATATTTTCCTGTAGATGTGCAGAATGCTTTTAAAAATTAAAATAGGCTAACAAATAAGAACAAAAAATGATTTTGAAAACTTCAAAAAATTAACATGGACCATATGGGTTGCCATGATGGTGACGAAATAACAACAAAATGTAAACAGAAAATCAAAACAAATGGAAGAAATTCCAATCACATGTTTTTTTTACAGTGTGGGGAGAAAATAGAGAAGTCTGTACATTAATTATTTTTGGTCGAGTTTCGACCACAGGACGACCACTAGTTATCCATAAATGTCTAAACAAAATCTTAAACTTAAAATAGTTCTCTTCCTGTGACCTATATACATATGAAATCACGAGAGGTTTGTACTACCACAATGTTCCCCATCATGGTTGTATGTTCTCCTATGTTTGTTATGAGAAACAAGATGATTCTTAAAATGTACCTTAACAATTTTAGTTCGGTACAAATGCTGCGTTTAATATTCAAACTGGGTTAGACTAATTCATCAACTAAACAATACAAAGCTTTGTATTGTTCATAATGTAGAATTACGTGCATAGTCGTTGGATCATGATACTTTTTTAACAGCATCTCCACTGAATGCCGAACAGTTATTAGTTTTTCAATTGTGTATGATTTTTATTGCGCGAACATATGAACACACGTTTCGATAGTGTGAAAATAAACATTCTACTACAGTCATCGTGACACTAAAGCGCAAAAGAAAAACCAACTGAAATTAGCAAGACAATTTGTGTAGCTATTCACCAGTGAGCAATAGCAAATACACTACCTAATTTGAAGCAAAAATAACCTTTTACAGATTTGTTCTTTTAGACACTCTCCCATTATAACATGTTTTTATCGCTACAAGGAGACGATTAGTTAGTGATTATTAATTTTAATCACTTATGGTACTTTGGTACACCTTCAAACACAGAAAAATGAAAAAGATTATGACGTTTAGAATTGGCTTATGGTCTTGTCAAGAACCTGAGACCTAGGGAGTGCTGACTGTCGTATGTTTTCAGGGACTAGCCTGTGGGACTAAGGCTTTGAGGAACGGCAGTCTCTGTAGATGTGTGGCAGAATAGTCCAGTAGAGATCGAGCCACAGACACCCAGCCCACCAGGAACCAAGCAGCTAGCAGCCCCAGAACGGCCTTGACTAGGCAGTCCAGCCAGAACAACCTGACACACACATTATGTCAGGCTTCTTATTAGTATACATGTTATTTATACATTTGTAGGCATGTGACCGGGAAAGATGACGAGCAATTGTTAGCGAGACTGAAACCCTTCTAGGGTATCAAAGGATGGGAGTTAGTAAGTAAGTGAGTCTATTTATACAAAAGCCAAAGTAGAATGAACCTTACGACCAAACTATAGCCCCTTATAGAATTCACATTCATAATAATTTCAGACTACAGATAAGCAACAATACAAGATTTCATAAATTACTATAAGGTCCCTCCTCCCTGTTTGTTGATGTTCTAATGAAATATTTAGGAACATTTAACTAACTAGATTAGCTTTTTGCTCAACCAATTTTCATGGTACTAAATAGTTGAGTCAAATTATTCTTTGAACTAATAGGCTAACTGTGGCGTTCTGGACAATGCTGCCGTAACTGTGCTAGCCGAGTGTTAATTTCAACCATAGTTTACCTTTTGTGTTATCCTCAAATGCTACTTTTATCGTATGGAAAATAAACATTTGCAAAAATCAGCGTTCATATTCAAACAACAACAATTGAACTATTTTAATATTTAAGTAGCTCGACCCTTTAACAAATAACCAACAAATATCAAATAATATCTGTAACATTATAAAGAAAATACCATAAAATGATCAATTCAGTGTTTTGATATTATGAATAAATGGATTATTATTTCGAGAATCGTACATACATTTTGATATCCTCCACTACTAAATGCCTAATACCAATCAACTGGTCATAATGTACTTAGCAGTACCAAACTAGTAGTACACTAGTAGTTGCCTGCAATCACCATGTTAGCTTAGCACTTAGCTTAATGTCCATTTCAAGCCCTGTGTCAACCAGGGTTGCTACAAAACATACCGGTGTAACTGGCCGAAATAGAGAGCCAATGTAAAATCTTTTATACGTATCTAACGTCTTGAAACTAAGAGTGTCAATATATCAAACAGTTTTAAAGATGCATTTTATTATACAGGGTGTCCCGGAACTCTCTACCAATATTTTAGGGCATTGCTCCTAGGTAAGAAACATACCTAAATAGCATATTTAAATTGTCCGGAAGTCCTTAGTTACTCACTCAGCGCCATTTTGTTTTTTTCAGTTATTAATTTTTTTCTAAAGAATGGTTAAACATACGAAATGGAAACTTTGCACAAACATTTGTGACAACTAGACAAAGCTACAAAAAAATTATGACGATTTTTCTAATTCACAAAACAAAATGCCGGCCATTTAAAATTTTTATAAAATCAAGGGTTTTTGAGTTAATTAAGAAACAAAATTTTAAATGGCCGCCATTTTGTTTTATGAAATTGAAAAATCGTCATAATTTTTTGTAGCTTTGTCTAGTTGTCTATAATGTTTGTTCAAAGTTTCCATTTCGTATGTTTAACCATTCTTTAGAAAAAAATTAATAACTGAAAAAAACAAAATGGTGGCTGTGTGAGTAACTAAGGACTTCCGGACAATTTAAATATGATATTTAGGTATGTTTCTTACCCAGGAACAATGCCCATGCATGGATGTATTTTAGGGAATGCCCTAAAATATTGGTAGAGAGTTCCGGGACACCCTGTATTTGTTTACAAGATTTTGAAATTTATTCCCCCATGAGTCCCAAAACAATTTTATCTTAAAATATTCCAATAAAATGCACTTAGACATAATCAGCGTAGATTTTCAAAGATGTACAATCATTGACTTATACATTTGATTGTGTCACGGCATTGTGCTATAGGTTAACTAATAGGTTCTATCATCACAATACCTCCTCTACTCACCAGGTGAGATGTTTCCTCGCCGTAGGCAGACTACTAAGAGGCTCCTTCATACAGTATTGTCTCGCCCCCAGCAGTATGTTGACTAGGTACTCGTCTATGTGGTACGTCATGTTGGCCAGGTAGAAGATCTCTCTGTCTCGTTGGTTCATATCCTCCGTCAGAGCTCTGGTCCGATCCACGCGGAAATGCCAGTTGCGCATCGTGAAGTATTGCAGAACTTCCATCCCTACAGAGATGCGCTTCTGGACACGAACCATACTGGGGAGAGTAAGCAACCAGTGTGGGGTGAAATCATTTACGATTTAAAATACCCTTAAAATATAAAGTGCTTTATATTAAAATGACGTTACAAAAAGGGTGCGTATATTTGAAGGCGATGGTGGGGAAAAGCGTTGAATGCAAATGATGATAGATACTAACCGATGAACATCGGCTTGTTCTTTAGCCAGTACAATTTATCAGTTTGATCATGATAGGGGTTGATGGGAGTTCTGAACCATCAAGAGCTACAAATACCAGGTTTACCTAGTAGCTAGTAGAACACTATATCCACTCAGCTTTCTAGTTTCTTTTTAAATAATTAAATACTTTCACGGATGAAATACTAAATTTAAGTAAAAAAAGCCTTCAAAATACCTATGTTATATTTATTGACATATTTAACGAACCTTGATTGTAATTTTCTCTGGTTGATGAGAATACAATCACGTATTAAGTGAAGGAATATTAATAGAAAATAAAAACCATAGTATCTCTATTGATTTATATTAATATGTAACAACTTAGCCTTACATAGTAAACCATATTCCATATCTATGAAAGTATGTAAATTGCATACACGAACATAACTTTTGCAGTTATTTATTCGTTCATTGTGTTTTGTGTGGTTTTCGACCCCTTTATGGAACAGACTGGTTATAGTATCTGAATCTGAAGGTTATTAGTTCGATCCTGAACCCACTGGGCTGTCAAATGATTCTTACTAAAAAAATGTATGTTTGATAGTACCAAGGACAGATCAAATCCGTCCCTTTAAAGAAAAGCCAAAGAATCTAATTGCCATGGAAAACTCTAAACATTAGATTTAATTAGGCTACCAGATTAAGCCAAGGGTTAGTAATACTTCACTGAACCTGATGTTGGTTATCTCTCAAACTCTCACAGTTTTCTTCAGCATTCCATCAGTTTAAACCGGTAGTATCATAATTTAAATAATATTTGTATTGGAAAGCATCCAGAACGATTCTTAGCCTCTTTTATAAATCACAAAAAAAAAAACTTACTTTGAAATCCAGCAAAGTACTTACAACCGCTTCTGCCTGATCAGAATCATCACGAAGTCAATGAAGTAGGCGGGGAGAATCTGAAGGAAGAAGACAATGAGGTTGTGCACGAAGCGGTTTGTGCGTATGGTTCCGTTGGGGTACCACAGGCCGCTATTGAAGGGGTACTCGTAGGCGTAGTGTTTACCCCTCTTGAGTACCTCGCCCCAAGTCATGGGTACTACGTCACCACAGGATATGTTGAAGGCTGGTACTTGGTCTGCTAGATCGGTCCTGAGGAGAAACGAAATAATGGAGTAGAAGGAGAGTTTGACAGTTAATAGTGTTGTTTGTTTTAGTGTTGTTTCAACTAGGAAAACACTTACACAAACAACGTACAATGAGAAAGGATAACAAAACTTATTAAGGAAATAATATGTCAAACATGCTGTGAAATATAAAGATATTCAGAAACTGTTGTTAGAAAATTGTATGAATTTGGTTATAGAAATGTATTTAAAAAGGTTGTTCGTTTTAGTTTCTGCTACCAATTATGAAGTGAGAACGTAATCATACATAACATGGCCACTGTTGATGAAGCCATATGCTATACCCATTTAGGGCGATTACAAATTTAAATTTTAAATTAAACTGTTTTTAGCTAAACGTATTAAGGTTTTAGAGACTAATTGCTTTCCAAACTCAAAAATGTCTAGATTATAGAAGTGGTGAGTTATCAACAATAATACAAAAATGTATTATTGTACTTTTTACATAAAATTAAACCTTTTAATTTGAGCTTGTTAAAATTCAGTTGAAAAAATTAATGCCACAGCGATAACTATGTTTTCTTGGGGGTTTCCCTCCCTTATGTTTTTGGTGGGAACCACCGAAACTATGGGGAGCTTCTACCCTGTCTTGGAATAAAATAACAACGCCACCTTCCCTTTTTGAAAGTAAGTGTTCTCAAATGGAATACAACTAAATAAAATACTTGTGCGTAGCTCGCTTGTGAGCTATGGTGATAACTGCGTTGATGGCGACATCCACGGGGATGACCTCTGCTCTGTTATCTTCCCCACACAACATGGATCTGATGACACCCTTGCCAGCGCCGACCATCACACCCACGGGGCCGTTGAGGTTGTCCACCCATCCCGGCACGGGCTCTCGGTAAGCGGGAGTCACTGTAACATTGTAACAGGGGTGTTAACTGTTAAATTAAAATTAATCAATGTCGGTCAAACAACAAATCTTTTACCAAATCATAATTTTTTTGCATCGAAAATGTTTAATATTCTCCCTAATAGCAAAATAATAAAAATAGAGGCAACCTTTATGCCACAAAATTGAAAAATGGACTTTTTATTTTTAAGTATTAAATACCGTAGATTCCATAAAGGACAAATAAATGTAGACAAATTAATTAAGAAAGTTAAATTATCAATAACAATAGACCTTGAGACGACATATAAGTTTTTAATGTTATTATTTAAGCAATGCCTCAACCGCGACTGTTACAATATGCTGATGCACTCTTGGGTAAGCTGCACCATACTAAATGCTGATCACATAGGATGTTCTCGATTCTCCTTACTGCTGATTCGGTTCTGCAGCATTGCGACAGTTTGTGGCTCACATCAGATGAAGATTATCTCTATAATGATAGTTTAGCAATTAGACTTTCAACTTTCGTCTATCTTAGCACATTATATTTTCTTTCCTACATACCAGGCGCAAAATAATCAATGGGTTATTGAAACTAAAATCACTCGGCAATTTCTTACTTATTTTATGACAAAGTTGCATTTGTGGTATCAAAATAGAACTTACTTTGGTGACTTGCCTGAAAGTGTTAGTTTCACATTTAAGTTGTTGTCCCTGGTATTTTACACACCATTATCCATTCTACAACGAAATTTCTTAATTACTAGTTGAATTTAGCAACAAGAAACCCTCAAATTTTAAGAATGTTAGCGGAATTGTAACAATAAATCTGATACAAAGATAAATCAATTTAAATTTGACTTGACCCATTGCGTTTTAAGTCTTGGGTTACACAAATTAATGTACACAATAATTGTAAACAGTAGGGGTGAATTCCCCCTCCTTTGGGAAACAGAAGAAGAGAATGTAGGTCCTCAGTTATGCTGATACATCATAAAAGTGTGTATTACAGTATTACTTTAGAGTAAACCAAGTCGTAATTAATTTTAGTTCATTTATTGTTTTATCTAAATTATCAAGTTAACACTTAAATACTATCTTTATACTATTTAACAACATTTTAGAAACACAAACAAAATATAATCCTTATTAATGATTTTGAAAACAAAGTACTTTATCCCCTTAAAACAAAGATTAACTAATAACAAACCTTAATAGATCTGAAAAATCACTAAACCGTTACGTTTAGGTTCCGGCCTCTTATTTTTCAGTTCAATGAGTATAATTTATACACATTCTTTAAAATGTCAGAATAAAAGGTTACGTGGTCTCATTATGAAAGAAAAAAATACAGATATCATATTATTTTCATATCTTTTCCATTACAGTAAAAATTAAAAAACATACCTATAGAAGGACGAGCAATAGCACAAGGTATGCGGGTCCCAAACTCGCTCACAAGGCTCTCAGCTAATCTCTTAGAGTATGTGTAGCAGTTGGGGTGTGGTCCAAGTAACCTGTTAAACAACACAAGATGTCATTTAAACACTCTTTTTAAAGAATGTAAACTAAATCAAATATCAGATTAAAAAATTCTCATACATCTTTGACCGAGTACTTGGTCACCGAGCTGTTTTGTCAAGATAAATAGTCATATACAGCTTTATGGCAACCATTTCACAAATCTCTGTTCCAACATCGTACTTTGAATATCCATCCACATTTTCATACAAAAATCCAGTTTCATTCGCTAAATCAGAGGGTTCTTTTAATCATTATTAAACTTCACCTTATACAATTTAGGAGTTTGATTGATCATGTAAGCTCTCACATTTTATATCTGCCAGTAATAAGAGATTTAATTCGTTCTTGCACCTTGGCTGATTACAGTTTTGTTCTTTAGTAATTAGTCTAGCAATGCTTATTGCAAGATACGGGATTTACAGCTTTGTTAAATTATATTTCACTTTAATCCCATTAGACAAAAACGCATGTATTTATATGTTCTATATTTCCAAGAATATTAATTTTAAATAAAAACTATGGGTATCTCACTAACAAAACGATGAGGTAAAAAGAATAATTCCATTTATTTGTTTTATTTTGACATGTAAAACCTATTGCTAAATTAGTTGTACAAAGGTTGTACTTACACACGGCCAGCACAGAGCAGGCTTTAAACCCTAGCCTACTTACTTAACACACTAATAAGGACATAAAGTCAAATTCATAAATATATGAAATAGGTTATTCTATTTAAGTGAGTTATCCCATCTCAAAGTATTGAGTGTTTATTGAATGACCGAGCAAAGTTAAGTGATTCGCATAAGCACATTACTTTAATGGCGATAAAGTTTATTCAGATGGATGAGCCTGCACACGTCATAATTCCAAATCACTGACTCCCATATGTTCTATATCGTGCGGATAAACCAGAACGTCTGAGCTGAATTGGTTTTACAAATGGTATTTATCATGTAATATGTAAATATTGTGATAGTTTTTAACAGGGTGATTTCTCATGTTACTTAGAGCTTACACCATAGATTGTTAGTAGCTACAACACACGGTTTCTTTTTACATTGTAGTATTATAAAATGTGACTATTGTTCATACGTGTGTATATAAATTATGTACATTTGAGTATTTCAGCATAACTGTGACTTAAACATTAGTAAATAGCATATACTATTATAAAAAAGAGGTGGTGTCTGTCTGTGTGTTCGTAAGAGCCGAACTCAAAAACTACTGAATCGACTGGGCAAAAATAAAGCTTTAGCTCCGAGGATACATATAGAACTGTTCCGCCTTTGATATTGACCTAGGACTCTGCCCCGCGGGCTTTCAAAGTTCTGAGGTGAGAGTTTTAGATGTAAATATTGATTTTTAAACATTGCATCATAGAGGAAGAAGCACTCATAATGTTATAGGGTAAACAAGCAGAACTGTCAAATGCACTTGATTTTACGTCATTGATAAAATAAATTATTCATTGTAAATTAAGTTAAGATTCTATTACTGTATCAACCTCAGCTGTTATCCTAAGTCTTCTGAGAAATATTTTTAAATACAATGTTTTTTAAAATTCTTTTACCGCAGCAAACCTGCAGACTAAGTGAATACCGTATCCATTTTCTAGATCATATTTTCACTAAAATATATCGTTAAAAATGTTAGAAAATTACACTATTGACAAGTTTTGTATCACCTGTATTGTGATAGCTTTTCGTTTACAGTACACACTACAGTACTTTTTGTATACTGACCCCGTTGCAAGACACGCTAGTAGGTAATGGATCTAACCACGAGTTAATTAAAGTTTCTTAGTTTCAAGGCATTTTGAATGAAATAATTAAAGTATAAATGATTTGACTTTCAATTATTAAGAGTAAAAGTGGACCAAATCTTTAAAATGTTACTTATATTGAACCCGCCCTCTCGCGCCGAAGTAAGAGAAAACTTCGTAACTAAAGCAATTCCATTGGCCTTTAGGCATCATTGTTAACGACAGGAGTGTTAACATTGATAACACATCAAATTTGTTTGAAAATAATATCTTGTTACTTGATTGTCTTTAAATTCTTTTGCTGGATGGCATTTGGGTATACTGTATACCGGGTGTCCAAAACCACCCGTACACCCCTTTCAAAACGATGGAAACCTTTTCTTACAAACAAAAAATAATACAGAACTAGCTAAATTGGGCACGGTCTACCAAATGGTGATAATTTCAAATCCAAAATCACACCGGAAGTGGCTTTTTCAGACCGGAAGTTGACTTTTTTAAATGTAAACTACCAATTTTGATTACAGAATCGGATTCTACGTTGAAAAATACATAACTTTTGTCACAAACATGAAACATATTTTGAAACACTTGTTTTCTACCTCTAATCCCCCATTAAAGTCAATAAATTTTGGTCATTCATGTGTCAAAGTTACTCGAAACAATAATAAAGAAAAACAAATAACAAAGATTACATAAAGACATATGATTAATAGAATTAGCTGTTTATTTTAAACGCCTTAGCAATTGAGTAACAGCTTGTCTACACATTGCTAAGTTTAATTCTTATGACTCCTTAAATGTAAAAACAAATGATTTATTTTTAAAATAAAATGAAATTAAGCAAATTGTAGGCCAGCTTTAACTCAATTGCTAAGGTGTTTACAATGAACAGCTGATACTATTTATCACATGTCTTTATGTAATCTTTGTTATTTGTTTTTCTCTATTATTGTTTCGAGTAACTTTGACAGATGAATGATAAAAAATTATTGACTTTAATGGGGCATTAGAGGTAGAAAACAAGTTTTTTCAAAAAAGTTTTTAGACAAAAGTTATGTATTTTTCAACGTATAATCCAATTCTGTAATCAAAATTGGTAGTTTACATTTAAAAAAGTCAACTTCCGGTCTGAAAAAGCCACTTCCGGTTTGATTTTGGATTTGAAATTATCACCATTTGGTAGACCGTGTCCAATTTAGCTAGTTCTGTATTATTTTTTGTTTGTAAGAAATGGTTTCCATCGTTTTGAAAGGGGTGTATGGGTGGTTTTGGATACCCGGTATAATTAGTAAAACACCCTTTCGAATACTATTCAAATGTTAAGTTATTTTCAGTTATAATGGTACGTAGTGCATTACTAGCAAATAAGTGTTCTTATGTTAATTTAAAACTGTAACTGACTGTGCAAACGTGAACCGCCCCATCAGTTTCTCTCGTTGACACACAAGCTGCCCCAAGTGGCCACTGAACATAAACAACCCTCGTGTAGACTCAGGCTCAGTATTTGTGACCTCGGGGCGTAAAACGAGATTGCCAATTTGATTTTACACTTCCCAAATCTGTGGACAGGATGTTACCCTGGATGGTATCACAGGTCTTGTGTGTTGACTTTGGATCATTACGTTACCATGGTACTTAAATACGATCTTTGTTAGTTTGTTATTTTTAGTTGCAGTTTAGGAGCGTCAAAACTATGTTTTTGAAGAAGACTTGCGTAACGAATATTTATAAGCATATTATTGTTTGTATTGTGGTTATGATTAAATGGAGGGACGAATGGTAACTTAGAAGGGAATTTCGTTTAGGGGTTCATCCCCACAGTTCGATCTATTTTTATAGGTCCTGTGAATTTCTTCATAATATTTTTAAGTGAGAGTACTGTAATTTAGTTTAATCTCATCGCCTGATTAGGTCAGGTAAACCAGACTATACGGGTTAGATATGCAATCAAAAAGTTTATTTATTGTAATTTAGAAGTTGTAATCCCATAGAGATAAAACGGTATTGATTTCATTATTCGTTTTGCATCATATACAAGTTTGACATCTGTTAAAATGCGCATTTGCATAGGTCCCCAATATATAAGCTAATATTATAAGCAAACACTGTCAAATGTAAGTCTAGGATAAGTCTGGCGTTGGTTTGATATACTCAACCTCAAGCTAGGTACTAATTGCGTATGGCTTCTCCACAAATCATGAATAATCAAATCCAAATCACTGATCTATCTGTAGGCCAAGGCAGTGTCAGGATGATAGAATATTCTCGAGTATAGGGAGAATATCGTCGTCACTTAGCTGAAATAAGGACTGTGTTTTCATTTAGTACACTGTAAACACTTTACGCTGGTTTTGTAAAACAATGAGAAGTAGGAAATATAAGTTTTCATTGAAGGTAGACTTTTGGGATATGAAATTTGACGTTTTAAGTAATTTCCTTCGTTTGAACCAATCCATTGGTTGTATTTTTTAATATGGGAGGTATGCTAATACTTCTCTTATTTGATTGTATGCCAACAGTATCTATATTTAGCAGTTTTCTAACCACCAATATGTTTTCCTCAAGACGTGCGTAATTTTGGACCATAGGGCCTGCATCAATTGCTTTGACAGAAAGCGAAGCAGTGTAAAGGTGTTGATGACGTAAGTTGTATTAAATTTAAAACTTGCTTTGTTGTGTAGTACAAAGGACCTTATGAGCCTGATGTTAAAATTTATTTTATTTGGTAAGTATGTAAATAGTTACCTAATATTTGTTTTCTTATTTATGTTCACACTAAATAAAATAAAGTTGTACTGAATACAACTTTAGGAATTCAGATTACGTGTTAAAGAATTTTACTTGAAAACCAAAAGATGTAGTACACAAATTAGAGAATTATTTATTTTAAACTATGAGTTATTGCAAGACCTATTTGGTGGCACGTATTCTGTTAAACCTTTTAAGGGTAAATATTCTAACCCGATGGATAGTCTATTACAAAAAATACTGTGATAAAGCAAGAATAAACGTTGTATAGACTCATAATTGAATTCCTGATGGGACGAAAAGTTTGCTACACACCAAGAATAAAATTAACAAGCAATTTTAAGTAATCGTATGCTACAATATTTTACAAGAGAACAACAATGCTAACAAATCATCCCGCAGTGATATATTGTTGAAGGGCTGAAATAAAAGAACAGCTGAGATAAACACATGACTGATGACGCGGGAATTTGTTTTAAT